CCATCTGTCCTCCGTGGCCAGAATCTGGTCGTTGTTTTCCTGACAGTTTAATGTTTATTTCTGATCCAGATTTGGTTTATGAGAATTTCCTTCCTCCTCACACTTTCACATCAACATTGTTTCTGCAGAGCCTTTGGCTAAGCTAGCTTGTTCTGGATTAAACTCATCTGAATGCAGCTCTAATCCAAGCTGAAAACACGTTCATTATAATCTAATCTCTTTATTCTCTACAGACTTGTGGTGGAAAACTCCTCTGATCGAAACACAATGATCCACTTCAATAAATAAACTTTTAGTTCACCATTTATTTAATAATTACTGCTTTTTAATTTTGTTTTACTGATTATCTGTCTGGGTTTAGTTTAAAAGAAAACTAACATGTTTCTGGAAATTGATTGAAGAATAACTGCATATTTAATTAAAGATTATTATAAATGGCGTATTTAAGTGTTGGTGAACAGTTTATTTTTTAACTGTAAAACATTTGAGTCCATTAGTAAAATTTTATTGGAAAAGGTTTAAATACTTAAATGAACAATTTTAAATGATCTTAGTTTATAAACTTTATGAGCTTTAAACAAATATCCTGTTAATGTTTTTCTCTCAGCTTTCTTCCAAACTAAGGGCCCTAAAAGCTCACCTGGTCCTCTGAGGGTTGGCAGGTGGCGTCCAGCTTCCTCAGTTGTCACGACGTCGTCACGCTGACGTGGAGATGTCAGCGGTTTAAGGCCTAACGGGTATTTTTATCTGTTGCACAACATTGAACTGATCTCAGAGTAACCCGGGACCTTAAACACCCGCGGGCTGAGTTGAACCCGCCATCAGCTGAGGAATCATTGAGTGAGGATAGACGACAGACGAACAGCTGCTGTGGTTCTGATCCTGACGGGTCCTGATTCAGACTCAGACACTTTGTGCTTTTTATTGTGAAACTGGGAACAAAAAGCTGCTTAAATAACAGCAAAGTTCACCTCTGCTGCTGGATTTATATTCAGAACCTGCGTTTTTGGGCCCTCTGCTCCTGCATAGAGGTATAATCCTGTGACACGTTCTGCCTGGATTACCAGCTGCAGCTCTGCAGCCCTTCCAGGCGACATGACAGCAGGTAGAAACCCCTGAAGCTCTGCTGACAGACTGATCTCTAATCACTCTGCTGCTCCCAGAATCAGCCTTTATTCATAAAGAGGTCATTTTACAATCCTGGCTCTGAGAGCAAACATTAGTGGAAAGCTGCGGTACCTTCCGGCATCCCGGCCGCTCACACCTGGGTGTTGACCTGCAGCACGTGAGGCTCAGGAAGGTTTAATCTTTCGCCACAAAGCCCACAGAAAAATTACATAAAGGCCTCATGCTCCTGAATGTGAGGGCTCAGCAGCTTACAGGCGGGGATTTGGTTAACTGGATTAATCCAAGATTTAAAATCTGCTTTTAGGCTGAAGAAGTGAGAATAATCGGCCCTCCTGTCTGCAGCTCTGGTATAAAAGGCTCACATGCAGAGTTCTCCCAAAACAACAACAGCTCTGCACTGAAAACCTCCCCAGGCTGTACTCTACTGTTCAGGTAAGGAGGCGATGCGTTCTGGGACCTGGAGGAGTTTCTTAAGGCTTCTCCTTTGCTGCACTAACTGGTTTTATCCCATTGGAGCCAACATGTTGGCTTGAAGAGCAGATTAAATCGGGTTTCTTTCTGTCCGCCGGGTTTAGAATGGACGTCCAAACTGTGGGGTTGCTGCTGTTTGTCCTGGCCTTCGTGGAGCAGAGCCTGTCATCCTGCGTGGTGGACAGATTCACCGTCAAGCAGGACTTTGATCCCCAAAGAGTGAGTACAAAATACAAAGCTTGGTGCTCCGTAAAGCCGGGCATACACTGCGCGATGTTTTCAATCGTTGCACGCAGCTGCAGCTCAAACTGTGCAAAGAAATCGCAGGGTTTAAAAGTTCCCAGTTCACGATGTTTGTTCTCAGACTGCGACCAGACGCTCTGATGTCATTACAGCCTGGTTTATGCTCAGACACCAGGTCGTCTGCGCCTGTGTTGCAGTTAACGCAGATATGGACGTGCAGACACTCTGCTGCACCTTTCCCAAATTGTAGGTGACCACAGACAGGAGGCCTCTGATTGGTCAATTCTCCATCCGCTTTACTCTATGCGTATTTCCTGTTTGCTTCCTAATGGCAGAAGCTCTGGCTGTAGCGCCGTCCACAGCGCCTGGCACGCCTCGGACTCTATCCCAGACACCGTGCAGGACGCTAGTTTGTAGCTCTGTGCGACGGTCTGTTGGTTTGCACCCGAAGCCAAAACACGCAGCGCCACGGCCAGTCTTTGGGGAACACTCATGGGGAACTGTGTGTCGTCCGGCGTTAGATTAGGGGTTGTAGACGGCAAACAAGCTCGTCAAACCGACACGCGGACACCCACAATCCTAGCTAGTTCCTGATTGGTCCTCAGGTGTTGTGGCGTGGAATAACATAGCGCAGACCACGCTTCAATATTGGGCAGAAATCAAAAATATCGGAGTCACAGCTACGACAAGCTAACCGCCACACGCTGCTGCTTGAGGATAACCAGCCTTTAGCTGCTCACACTGCACGTCCAAAAAACACACGCCGAAAGACGCAAGGTCTGACTCGTTAATCTGGAAGAAGAAGAAATCCCGTGTTTTCGCATGCATAGCAGCAGGATTTGCCCACGACCACCTTACAACGGCCGACTGAATTCCAAACATGTTTAATTTTCTCCAAACCTTACAATTCCTGATGGGAAGGTGGTCATGAGACGGTTGATCGCCCCTCGTTACCACCCGTATACTACACGACGCAGGATGAGGTTCAAACGATTTGATTGAATAAACTCTCGCACGACTGGTAAATCGGCGTGAAAAGGGCAAAAAAACGCACAGCGTATGCCCAGCAGAAATCGCAGAAAATTATAAAAATATGAACAATAAAAGTATTCTGAATACAAAGGAGGATGTCATCAGCATACAGTGTGATCGGATTTGGCATGCACTTCAGTAAGCAGCAGAATTCAGCTAGTTTGTGGAAATAAATTGTTGAGGTACGTCTGTTCTTAGCCTCCCAGGATCCAAACGAAGGTCATGAGACATAAGAACGAGTCACAGCCTCCTTCATGGCATAAAGGGGAGGACTGCTGTTATTAGGAGATCCATCTGACCAGTGGAAGATAGATTAACCTAACAGGGAACGGCCTTGATGAACTCAAATTGTTTTTTCCTCCAAATGTTGGTGTGTGAGAAAGTTCTTTATGCAGGGGGTGGGATAGTTCCAAGGGAGTGTGAGTTGGGAGTTGTTGTATAAATGTATGTACTGAGCATTGCCCCGTGTCAGAGCTCTCTCCCTCCGTCTGAGGATGTTAAATAAATTTGAACATTCTCTTGCAAGAGTCTCAGTTTCTCCTCAACTTCACAACGTCCGGTGAAATATGATGACGTGTTTGTGTTTCTGCTGACAGTACGCAGGGAAATGGTACGCGCTGCAGAAGAAGGACCCAGAGGGCCTGTTCCTGCAGGACAACATATCTGCCGAATACACCGTAGGGGACGATGGCTCCATGGTGGCGTCCTCCAGAGGCAGAGTGACTCTCTTTGGGTGGGTGCTTCTGTGCCACGCGTCAACGAGTCCTGAACCCCAGGCTGCCCAGCTGACACCGTTCTGCTTTACCCTCCATTCAGGTTCTGGGTGGTCTGCGCAGACATGGCCGCTCAGTACTCCGTACCTGATCCCAACACCCCCGGCAAGATGTTCATGAACTACCAGGGACTGGCCAGCTACCTGTCCAGCGGAGGTGAGCCTCCAGAGCCTCACAGCTTCCGTTTCTCCTGGATCTCGGCGCCGTCCGACTCACTTCTCTCTCTGCCTCTTCAGGTGACAACTACTGGGTCATCGACACCGACTACGACAACTACGCCATCACCTACGCCTGCCGCGTTCTGAGGGAGGACGGGAGCTGCGAGGATGGCTACGCGCTGGTCTTCTCCCGCAACCCGCGCGGCCTCCCCCCGGCGATCCAGAGGCTGGTCCGACAGAAGCAGGAGGAGATCTGCATGGCGGGGCAGTTCCAACCTGTGCTGCAGTCCGGTAAGATCCTCTGCTGACAGCGAAGAAATGATGTGTGTGGAACTTTCAAAGTAAAAGCTTTTCTCCCTCTTCAACAGGAGCCTGTTAGACGTCTAGGCTGCATCATATGAATCCAGATCAACAAGCCTAGGAGGGAGGCCCCTCCCCCCCTCCCCCGTAACATCTAGTGTGTGGATCTGTGTTGGTGAAAATAAACATTTTATAAAGAAAGCTACGTGTGTTTGGTTTGTTAAAAAACACTTTATGTCTAAAAGTTGGTTTTGAAACATGAGACCAGACCCAGCCGGGTTCTGCTGTCAGTCCGTCCGATCGCTGCAGACGCAAACAGAACGATGGCGTCTTCAGGATGACGGGGAAACCAGCCGACTGATCAGCTCTGGATCTGCAGACGCAGCAGAAACCTTCCCTCCTCCACCTACTGCTCTCCTGAGAACCTCTCTGGCAGAGAGTACGGCCCCGGCCTTCCCCAGTAGTCCACGGCCCGGACCCGGTACAGGCCGCCGACCTGCTGGTCCACTGAAACAGGAAATCAGAGGTTATCTCTGAGGCAGCATCACAACTCGTCTAACAACAAGCAGAGCACCTGGTGAGAAGACATAAGAGGTGAAAATGGTGTCCTGAGAGTTGATGCGTCTGAAGACCTTCTGGTCCGCAGATCGCTCCACTTCAAAGGTCTTGATGCATCTATGAGCCGAGAAATAAATCATTTCTGACCTTAGATGCACTAAAATGGCCGATTATATGGAAAACTGACTGACTTTGAGCCGACGCAGCGATCCGACCAGACGATTAAGACCTGCCCCACAGTGATCCTGATGAAGCGCAAACCGCTGACCTGTTCCACAGAGAGACAGGAAGTCATCTATGAGCAGTAAAATGGTTCAGCAACAGCTTCTGTCTGTTAGGAAGGAAAAAACTTAGTTCCTGTTCAGACTGGTGTCTCTATTAGAGGCGAAACAATAATTAAGAACATAATGACAGGGATCTAAAAAAAAACACGGGTAATTAAAAGCTGCCTGCCTTGATTGAACTGCCTGAGACTCAAACCAAGTTTGTCTCTATTATTGAGTAAATATCAATAATTATAAATTCCATATATGTAGATAAATATACCCTGCCAGGCCAAAAAAAGAGGGTCACTCACTCTAATAGTTTGTTGGACCGCCTTTAGCTTTGATTACGGCACGCATTCCCTGTGGCATTGTCTCGATAAGCTTCTGCAATGTCTAAAGATTTATTTCCATCCAGTGTTGCGTTAATTTTCCACCAAGATCTTGCATTGATGATGGTAGAGTCTGACCGCT